GGGTATGTTATACCTCACTGATGAGGCCCAACAAGGCTGAAACCATCATGCAGAGAGAGACACTGTACCCATGTCTCCTAGTGCCTCAAGTGCAGAGAGAGACGACTTGCAATTTGGTACAAGATGATCTACAACTAGCTTGAGATCTGAGCGGGGACCCACTGAAGGGCAGGCAATTTGAGCTGTGGTGCGTTCTCAGTAATCTCTTGTAGCACGTTTTTTGCTCTCCCTTCTAATCAGGGCCAGATTAACAGCCCAGTGGGCCTGGTGCTGACAATTATGACGGGCCTAATTAAAGAATCATATCGACCAAAAACACTAAAACACTCCCAAGCGTCATTTATCTGATGGAGATGGTGCTGGAGAGAAAGAAAACAGCAGCTACAAGAAAACACATACCCTATGCTAATCTCCCTCTAACTTATGTTTTCATCTTTCAAGTAAATCCATAACCCCTAACAGCAGTGTCCAGTCAAGCAGGAAGTCAATGGGCACGGTAAAAGGGTGTGCCACTGACACAAATCATGAAACCTGCCAAAAGAGGCGAACATGCCTAAAAAGAGGACATGTCTGCCCAAAGAATTTGAAGGCCAGCCTGGCATGAATGCATATCAGACTGCCTGCCAATCATGCAGCTGGCCAACTAAGGGCATACTATGCAGACAGCACCCTGAGCTTGGCATAAATGCATCTAATGATGCGCTCGCTCAACGCTTTCTAAAGGACTGTCCCCTAGCACTCGCTGGTCCACTTGTCTCCTTACCTTGTTACTAGCAGGCAGACGCTCCTGGTATATAGTCTGGGACAGAAAAAAGCTGTATGTAGTGAGTGTAGAAGAAAGGGAACATGCTACAGTGTTAGAGAGACCAAAGTCAGCATTACCTTAAAGGATCACTATAGGGTCAGGAACACAAACATTAATTCCTGACTCTATAGTGTTAACATCACCATCTAACCCCCCTGGGCACTTCATGCCTCCATAAATATAGTAAAAATCTTACTGTATTCAAGCCTGAAGCTGTAACTCTGCATGCTGTTAGACTCAGAAAAACAAGCAGTCTGCTGACATCATTAGAAGTGGTGGCCTGATCCAATCACAGTGCTTCCCCATATGATTGGCTGAGACTGCATGATTCAAACTGATCAGGGGCAGAGCCAGCATGATTCAAACACAGCCCTGGCCAATCAGCATCTCCTCATAGAGATGAATTGAATAAATTAATCTCTATGAGGAAAGTTCAGTGTCTGCATGCAGATTGAGGAGACACTGAATGTTTGGATGCATTTTAGGCAGCCATGACCCAGGAAGGATCTCTAACAGCCATCCAAGGAGTGGCCAGTGAAGTTATCACTAGGCTGTAATGTAAACACTGCATTTTCTCTGAAAAGACAGTGTTTACAGCAAAAAGCCTGAAGGTAATGATTCTACTAACCAGAACAAATTCAATAAGCTGTAGTTGTTCTTGTGACTATAGTGTCCCTTTAACTATATTCATTGTCAGCCAGTCCACACAAGTTTTGTTCCCATACATCCCTCTTAAGTTTCCATACTTAAGTAAGAGTATGTGAAAAGTACTTAGGGTTGCCACCTTTCTTGGAAAAACATACCAGCCTTACTAATTTGCATAATTAAATATGTATGGGTGACATCACATGATGTAAAATCACAAGGAGTGACGTAAGAGAAAATGCTGTAAAATCACCAAAAAACTACTTAGTTTGATTATGCTGTATAGATGGATTCTCCCCAATGCCCCCATGTTTCCCAGTGCCCCATGTGTCGATTACTCCAGGTCTCAGCGTTCCTATGTATCACAGTGTCTCAATGCCCCATGTCTCCCTGTGTCCTCCAGTATTCCCATGTGTCTATGTCCCCATGTATGTGTCACTAGGACACTAGGAAGACAGGGAGACCTAGAGACACAGAGACACCAGTGACACTGGGAAACTAGGGGACACTGGCTGGGACACATGGGGACACTGGGAAAATAGGGGACACTTGAAGACATGGGGACACAGACACTAGAGACACTGGCTGGGGGACATGGGGACATTGAGACATGGGGACACAGACACCACGGCCACAGACCCTAGGGAAACTAGCTTGGAGACATGGGGACATTGAGACACTTGAGGCACTAGGAGACATGGAGACAGTGAGACACTGGGAGACTAGGGGTCACTGGGAGACTAGGGGGCACTGAGACACCAGGGACATTGGCTGGGAGACATGGGGACACTGTGTCCCCATATGTCTGTGTCATAATGTCTCCCAATGTCCCTTAGTGTCTCAGTGTCTGCCATAAAGTCTCCCAGTGTATGTCTCCTTGCAGCCTTTCCCCCATCCCTTACTTCCCTGAGCTGTAGGCTGTCTCTGCAGGGTGGGAGTTGCTGTCTGGACTCTCTGTAGCTGCTCCCCTGCAGATCAGTGAGTATAGATAGGCAGGGAGGGATATGCTGGAACTTCCTATCCCTGCCTCTCTCCACATACAGCGACCCCTACTGGCCAGTGCTGGTATTGCATAGTAATCTCTTGTTTATACTGAAACAAAAATACCAGCATTTGTATTTCCAATATCACTGCAATATTGTCACCAGCCAGGCAGCCTCAAATACTGGCCGTGCCAATAAAATAAAGGCCAGGTGGAATCCCTAAGAGTAGTGTGTGAAAAAAAAAAAATCAATGGGCCTATTCTATGGGCCTGGGCCTATTCTATGGGCCTGGGCCTGGACCTGGAGCTGCAGCTCCATCAGCCCCTATGTTAATCTGGCCCTGCTTCTAATAAACTACAGAGCTACAAGAGAGCAAGAAAACAGGTTCATGCAGCTGGGAGGGCACTCTCTGCTTAGCCTCCTGAAATGTATCTTGCAGTGCTACGTTTATAAATATAGCTGGACTAATTTAACCCCTTAAGGACACAGAAGTTTGGTCCTTAAGGGGTTAAGGAGCACTCTAGAACTATGCATACAAACTGTATAGTAAAGTATATACAAATATATCATCAACCTTTACCATAAGTATAATATTTTTTTTTTTTTTTAAAGTCTTGCATTTTATCTTGTCTGCAAAAGATTAGTATTTTTCGGCTATTTAATATTTTCAAGCTAGCACATATTATTGCTGCACGCATGGGTTTAATTGTGTATACTTTGCACTTTCTTTTATTATTGGTGCCTAAAAACAACTTTTGTTTTCAGGGAATATCTGAAATAAAGATCCCATCAACAGATTCTCCTACAAGTCATAGGACAATGGTTCGGAAGACAAGTCACAGTCAGATCAGCCATAGCTTCTCACAGAATTCCTTGTATCAAAGTGCTAGCCAATTGCTTAATTCACATGATAAAAAATCCTTAGGAGATGGTTCCATATGGGACAGCATTATTCAAGGACATGACAGTGGAATGGTAAGGGTGTTCTTATCTTTTAAAATGTACAATAAAAATGCAACTTTAAATAACCTCATCACCAAGACGTGAATCATCAGAAAGTAACGCACTGAATTCTCAAGATTAGGTCACAATAGCTGAACTCAAAATATTGTTGACTTGGGGAGTTTTTCCACTTTAGCTATTTTGGCACAAATTTTGAAATTCAGTTGCATTTCCAAAATTCACAATTTAGTGAAAACTGAAATGATTAAATAATAGATGTTGAGTATGCTTTTTAAAATGTAGTTAAACAATTTTGAAAATCTCTTCCGCAGGTTTAGTTTAACAAAAGTAATTTAGTGCCTTTCAAAACTTGAGCACGATACACGTACATGGGGTTGTCAACCTATGCACTACCCCAACTCTTGTTGTCCTACGTCAACCTTAATTTTCTACCATAGGCATACTTGAGTTAAGCTTGACAGCTGTATGATTACCAAATCAAAATAGAGCTGCCTATTAATGGTATCCTAAAACTAGAAATGGACCGTGGTAAACTTGTGGAATAAAATGTTAATTAGAATACATAGAATGTGTGTAAATTATGTTGGTTGCATAGATCTCTATTACAACAGCTGATTGACAAAAGAGAGCTTGAGAACCCTTCTGCAGGTGGTTCTCCTGCTTTCTGTAATAGCGCTATTGTGAGAATGTCTTGCGGTTTACTAGAGGAATATGCCAAAAGCATAGTAGTGGACAGGAGGCAGGAGAGACTGGAAAGTGGGTGTTATATAAGGTAACAATATTAAATGGGGTAAAATATGAAATATTGAATGAAAATCCTTTTCGGGAATTACATCTTCATGCAAAGAGAAATTATAACTTATAATTTCCTGCAAGAATGTTTTGTAGGTGGTATACAAAATAAAAGAACTTGAGGTTCATAGATAGTCAAAATACCCCAAATAATATTTTTTCTGTTTTTTATAGTATGCGGATGATGATGACCTAATAAGTACCATTAAAAGCTTCAGTACAGTGACCAAGCAGCACACAGCCTTTACAGACACCCCACTATAGGCTGTGCAGGAGCAATGTATGGAACATCTGCCTTGCAAAGACTATTGAAATAAGGATCGAAAAAAGGAGACTGGAGGCCAAAATTGCTGCCTTGGACTATACTACAAAAGCTCAGTACATGAAGAAATGTATAGGAGTTTGGGCATTCATGTCAACAAATCGGATTATCATCATGTTTTTTTAACTACTGCTTTAAAATGGAATTGAATTAGCAAACAAATTTCATTTTCTTCCTGCATCATCGAAAAACCTTAAAAGTTATCACATACATTTTCTTGGTGTAAAATTCAAATTCAAAGCTTGAAGTGTTTTGAATTGGTGAAAAAAAAAGTGATTAAGGCTCAATGAATCAAATCAATTTAAACCACACATTGATATATTAAATGCAGAAAATGTTGAAGTTTATTTGTATATTATTGAAAATCTAAATCACATAAATTTAGGAAACAACAGGTTATTTGAATAAAAATGTCCAACTTTACGTTTGTCTGTTTTAGCCTGACTTGTGTAATTTTGTTTACAATTTTGTTTACTGAATAAACCCCGACATGTTTCACATCTGTCCAACATTTTTTTCATTTTGGATACTTTTATATAAAGTTTTGCTTCACTGTAAACTTATCAATTATTCCTGGATAGTTGCCGCAATCAGCATAGTTTATAAATAATTAGATATTGTCAATAGAGTTCTATAAGTTTTAATTTATTTAAAACAAACCAGATCTAATTTCTATAATAATAGGTTAGAGTTGTTGCCTTGCCATTAGTGCATTTTCAGTAATCAAACAATCAATTTAAACATGTTCATTTTACATATTAATAACATGTAACCAATTGTGTTTCATTATCATTTATTTTCTTTAATTTTGATAACATTGTATTGTAAAGAAATAGGTTTGTCACTGAAATCTAAATATGGATCCATTAAAACATGCTTGTTTTTGTCTACTTTGTAATAAACATATATTATTGTGGTTTGAATGTTCTTCAAAATACATTTAAATAAAAATCATAGGATGTGGCAATCACTTTCATTTTTCAATCCCCTAGAGATCTATTCCAGAAGAAATTAAAAAGCGAAGAGAGTGTGAATCCACCAATATTTTTAGTGTCAGAAGAAAAAAAGGGTGGTTGAATGAATAAAGCTAGAAGATGTGGCCACACGTCCTTATTTACCCAGAGCCAAGGTCTCACAAGTAGACCTGACCATCATCTGTCAAATCAGGAATTATCTATATGACCACCTATAATATGTTTCTGACACGTTCAGGTCAATACCTTGTTGATTTGTACTGGTCTCGTGCAGGGTTCTAAAAAGTATTGCACCCAGTCAGACTTTCTCCATTATAGATTCATATTGTGTTCATACAGCGCAGCCCTTGCCCTCACCAAACAGTCCTACTTTTCCTCTCTCATTAGTTCATGCTCCCATAATCCCAGGCATCTCTTTGACACCTTTAATTCATTTCTTCGCCCTGCTGTGGCCAACCCCAAACTAGCCTTACTGCCAATAGCTTTGCATGTTACTTTACCGACAAGATTGAACAGCTAAGGAAAGAATTCTTCCATCGTTCTCCCCGGCTACTGACCAAGAGGTGGCTGCTCTTCTCTTTTCCTCTCGCCCCACCACTTGCCCGCTCGATCCTGTCCCATCTCACCTTATTAGATCTCTCTCCACTTGTCTCGTGCCATATTAACGCTCATCTTCAACTGCTCTCTCTCTTCTGGCATTGTCCCTGCTGACCTTAAACATGCCACTGAAAAAAAACCATCTCTTGACCCATCTTCCCCCATGTAACGGAACCTTCGGTACTCCGACCAAGTACCTACCGTTGATGGACCCTTCCTAGCTTGCGCCGAGGACCACAAGCACCGCACCGGACACCACAACCACCGCAGACTCCACAACCGCAGTAGCTTAACTGGAGTCTCGCCGTCTTCTGTCCACCCTGGATCAGCTTCTGTTCTCCAGGACCGTGTGGGGAAGACATCTCCTCCAGGAGAGCGTAACAGGAACAGCTCTTAAAAGAGCTAAGTGATTAAAGCTCAAGGGAGTATGCAGAGCATAGCAATCCCCAGTGTGAGTATAGCTGTCCCCTCCAATCACGAGACAAGACTACGTGTGCGGCCATTTAAACTCCCGAACGGCCAACAGTGTTCAGCGCCCAAACTATGGAACTGAAAACGGAATTCGGTAGTAATGTGCGCTCAGATCTAAGCTATCTGGGGATATGTAGAATGTGTTATATGATCAATGTAACCGTATGTAATTTTATGTATTTTTACTAAAAATGTGTGTAATGGAGTTTTGCCTCTGTCCTTGGAGATAATTGGATTACTTCCCAATTATCTCCAGGCCAGAGAGGAGGGATTGTGATGCATTGTGGGATTGTTGAAATGTGTAAGTCTGTGATTGGTCCTTTTACCCTTTGTGTCCCAGTCTTCCATCTGGTCCCCTAGGGGAGTGTCCACCAGGTGGGAGACCTGCATAAAAGCCGGGCAGGTAGCCCCAGTAAACCAGTTCTGCTTGACCTCAAAACGAAGTGTCGTCTTGTTATTGGGGGAATTGGATTGTATGCTGATTGCCAGGAGTGTAAGCTGATTGTATGCTTTTCCTGTTCAGCTGCTTACAGCATTCATAAGCTTGAGAACATTTGTATGCTTCTCCGGTTTGGTGGTTGTGGCGTCTGCTGCAGTGCTTTGAGTCCTCAGGAAGCGCTAGGAGCATCCTTCAACGGAGGTACCCAGTCGGGGTGCCAGGTGATCAGTTACATTAACCTCTCTGCTGCCTTTGACACCGTTGATCATGCTCTCCTTCTTCAAACTCTTCAATCACATAGTCTCTGTGACTCTGTCCTCTTGTGGTTTTCCTCTTATCTTTCCCAATGCTCATTCAGTGTCTCCTTTTCTAATGAAACCTCCTCCCCTCGTCCTGTCTCGGTTGGAGTCCCCCAATGCTCTGTATTTGGTCCCCTTCCATTTTCTCTTTATACTGCCTCTATTGGCAAACTTATTACCTCATTTGGATTCCACTACCACCTGTACACTGATGACACCCAGATATATCTCTCCTCCCCAGACCTCTCCCCTGCCGTCCTGCAACGTGTCACTGCTTGCCTTTCTTCCATCTCTGACTGGATGTCCTCCCACTTTCTGAAACTCACTCTTTCTAAAACTGAGCTCATTGTCTTTCCTCCTCCTAATACTGACCCTCCTCTTTCGCTCTCCCTTCAAGTTTGTGGTACCCACATCAGTCCATCCTTGCAGGCACACTGTCTTGGCGTCATACTTGATTCTGGCCTCACCTTTGAGCCTCACATCCAATATGTTGCCAAATCCTGTAGATTCCATCTTAAAAACTGTCAGGGTGGTGGTCCGGTGCCCGGGACCCAGACCTCGTCCGGGCGGCGGTGCGTGGACCGGGACCCCTGAGTGCCTGATGTTCAGAGTAGGAGTCACAGTGTGGAGGTGGATTAGCAGGGTCTGGTACAGGGTAACTGCACGCCCCCTGGTGTTGAGCACCAGCGTTTGTGCAGCCACAACCAGAACCCTGATTCAGCTTCTGCGGATCCCAGAAACTAGGAGCAGGTAATTAAGAAAACCTCCCAGGAGCTGAATAGGGAGGCTCTGCAGCAGGGATGTATCCAGTACTGAAGCAAGGCAAGACTAGGAGAGCAAGGCACCATACTTGAAAAAAAAAAAAAAATAGGAGAACCCAGAACCGGAGCAGGACAGAAAGCATAACCTAGAACATGTACACAAGACATGAGGAAAACAAAAACATAACATGGGCATGACTGAACAGGATTGTACATGGACTGGGATTAAAAGACAAAGTAAAACAAGACAAGAGATACAAGGTAAAACAAGAGGAAACATAGCTAAGCACTAATTATGAAAAGTATGGGGATTTAGTCACATTATATGATCATAAATTGCACAAGCCTGCCAACAATGCCAATGTACCCCATATCTGGCAGGTCCTACACTGCCTAATGTATGCTAAAACAACCACACTATACCTCAATAGCACTTACCTGCAAGAAAGGACAGAGACATGAAACACTGCTGCAGGTCCAAGCTGAAACAAAAGGAAAGTGGAAAACAAACGGGTGTGGCAACATAAAACAAACATTTAAGTGAATCCAAGAGACTGGGAAATCCAGGGACAGAATATAAGAATGAACTCAGAAACCCAGCAATAAGCAAAACCAAACATAGACCAGAAAACCAGAAAAAACAAGCAAGGACAGCAAAAAGAGTACTGGATACCAGAAGCCATTGCCAGAATGATCCGCAGCGAGGAACAGGGTGTGACAAAAACATAGCCCGCATCCGCCCCTTTCTTACGCAAGATGCTACCAAGGAGCTTGTCCATGCTCTAGTAATTTCGCGCATGGATTATTGTAACCTTCTCCTGATTGGTCTTCTCAAAAGCCATACTGCACCGCTACAGTCCATAATGAACACAGCTGCAAGACTGATTTTCCTCTCTAGTCGGTTCTCTCACACCTCACCCCTTTGTTAGGCCTTACATTGGCTTCCTGTATGCTATAGGAGTCAATTCAAGGTACTAATTCACACCTATAAAGCACTGAACAACTCTAGCCCCTCTTATAGCTCTTCCCAGATCCATAGGTATGTCCCTTCTCGGTCTGTCCGCTCTGCCCGTGACCACCTCCTGTCCGTTGTCGGCACCCGTACGGCCAACTCAAGCATGCAGGACTTCCTATGGAATAGCTTGCCTACCACCATCAGACTCTTCCCTAGTCTTGCATCCATTAATAAGTGCCTTAAAACCCATCTCTTTAGGAAAGCTTATGGCCTCCCAGATTAACCTCTACCTCACATACCTGTCTCTTGCTCTCTCCTAAAGTGCAGCCCACCTTATTTGACTGCAAATTCCTGTCCTATTGTGTTTTACACCCCACCTCCTATAGAATGTAAGCTCGTTTGAGCAGGGTCCTCTCCAACCTATCATTCCTGTAAGTTTTTTGTAAGTGTCCTATTTATAGTTAAATCCCCCTCTCATAACATTGTAAAGCGCTACGGAATCTGTTGGCGCTATATAAATGGCAATTATAATAATAATATCACATTATTAAATAATTATATGCTTTACAGAAGTTTACACATTACATGAACAATATAAAATATAATACACTGCTCAAAAAAATAAAGGGAACACTTAAACAACACAATGTAACTCCAAGTCAATCACACTTCTGTGAAATCAAACTGTCCACTTAGGAAGCAACACTGAGTGACAATCAATTTCACATGCTGTTGTGCAAATGGGATAGACAACAGGTGGAAATTATAGGCAATTAGCAAGACACCCCCAATAAAGGAGTGGTTCTGCAGGTGGTGACCACAGACCACTTCTCAGTTCCTATGCTTCCTGGCTGATGTTTTGGTCACTTTTGAATGCTGGCGGTGCTTTCATTCTAGTGGTAGCATGAGACGGATTCTACAACCCACACAAGTGGCTCAGGTAGTGCAGCTCATCCAGGATGGCACATCAATGCGAGATGTGGCAAGAAGGTTTGCTGTGTCTGTCAGCGTAGTGTCCAGAGCATGGAGGCGGTACCAGGAGACAGGCCAGTACATCAGGAGACGTGGAGGAGGCCGTAGGGCAACAACCCAGCAGCAGGACCGCTACCTCCGCCTTTGTGCAAGGAGGAACAGGAGGAGCACTGCCAGAGCCTGCAAAATGACCTCCAGCAGGCCACAAATGTGCATGTGTCTGCTCAGACGGTCAGAAACAGACTCCATGAGGGTGGTATGAGGGTCCGACGTCCACAGGTGGGGGTTGTGCTTACAGCCCAACACCGTGCAGGATGTTTGGCATTTGCAAGAGAACACCAATATTGGCAAATTTGCCACTGGTGCCCTGTGCTCTTCACAAATGAAAGCAGGTTCACACTCAGCAAATGTGACAGACGTGACAGAGCCTGGAGATGCTGTGGAGAATGTTCTGCTGCCTGCAACATCCTCCAGCATGACCGGTTTGGCAGTGGGTCAGTAATGGTGTGGGGTGGCATTTCTTTGGGGGGACACACAGCCCTCAATGTGTTCCCAGAGGTAGCCTGACTGCCATTAGGTACCGAGATGAGATCCTCAGACCCCTTGTGAGACCATATGCTGGTGTGTTTGGCCCTGGGTTCCTCCTAATGCAAGACAATGCTAGACCTCATGTGGCTGGAGTGTGTCAGCAGTTCCTGCAAGACAAAGGCATTGATGCTATGGACTGGCCCGCCCGTTCCCCAGACCTGAATCCAATTGAGCACATCTGAGACATCATGTCTCGCTCCATCCACCAATGTCATGTTGCACCACAGACTTTCCAGGAGTTGGCAGATGCTTTAGTCCAGGTCTGGGAGGAGATCCCTCAGGAGACCATCCGCTACCTCATCAGGAGCATGCACAAGCGTTGTAGGGAGGTCATATAGGCATGTGGAGGCCATACACACTATTGAGCCTCATTTTGACTTGTTTTAAGGACATTACATCAAAGTTGGATCAGCCTGTATTGTGTTTTTCCACTTTAATTTTGAGTGTGACTCCAAATCCAGACCTCCATGGGTTGAAAAATTTGATTTCCATTTTTAAATTTTTGTGTGATTTTGTTGTCAGCACATTCAACTATGTAAAGAACAAAGTATTTCAGAAGAATATTTAATTCATTCAGATCTAGGATGTGTTATTTTTGTGTTCCCTTTATTTTTTTGAGCAGTGTATATATACAATTTCACACAGGAGGCTGCTCTGCACTAGCAGCCAATTTACAGAGCAGTGTATGTCTAAAGCAGGGGTCCTCAAACTTTTTTAACAGGGGGCCAGTTCACTGTCCCTCAGACAAGGTTGGGGGCCGGACTAAAAAAATTGAACAAATTCCTATACATACTGAAACAGACACATAGAAATATACAGACACATACTAACAAACATACATACACACGCATAAGGACATACATACACATACACAATCGGGCAAATTAAAAAAACAAAAATCAAGCCTTATATTTGACCTTGCAACTTTCAAAAACACTATAAGATCTGTACATGGGTGGTACTATTATACTTGGGAGACTTTGCTGAACACAAATATGAGTTTCTGAAAACAGTCAAACGTATCACAACAATGATATCATCAGTGTAAGTGCCATTTGTGTGTGAAAAAAGCAAAAAAATCACTTTCACTGACAATATCGGCTGTGATATGTTTCACTGTTTTGAAACACTAATATTTGTGTTCAGCGACGTCTACCGAGTAAAACAGTACCCCCCGTGTACAGGTTTTAGGGTGTCTTGGAAAGTAACAGGGATAAATATTGTGGCGGAACCAGCCTCGCCACTGGGCATTGGAGAAGACTGATTGCCAGCCTCTTGCCATGTGACTATGGCCACTGGGATATATTGCCTGCTCTCCTGTACTGCTGATGATTGCTACCAACTAGGTGGATTTGGCTATGGAGCTTGTATAGTGCCCTCTGTTGGTAGCAACAGTAATATGCACTACCTGAATAGAAAGACTGGTAATTTGCATATTTGGGTAGATTTGCATATCGCTAATTCTGCATGCAGGGGAGACATGTTGTGTTAATTATGGTCTTCCCCACCCATTTATAAATATGTAATTATGTTATAATAAGTCACTGTATGTTGCCTGCTATGATTTGACTGTTTGTAATTTTATTAAGACCATATGGGATACTTCCAAGTAAAATAAAGTTTTAGACAGTCCTACTTCATCCTCAATTTGGAGTCCTGTCTCTTATTGGGGGAATCTGCTACAATGGATTGATATGCTCTGCATATTCCCTTGCTACAATCACTCCTAAGCTCTTTTAAGCGCTCGTTCCTGCTTCGCTCTGAAGGAAGAGAGGTTCGGCCTGCGGTGGTTGTGGTGTCGGCTAGAGTGCTTGGAATCCTCAAGAAGCACTAGGAGCATCCATCAACGGAGGTACCCAGTCAGGGTGCCAGGTGATCTGTTACAAATATACATCCTGTTTAAAATTATTATGCAAATTCTATTTAAGTGTCACAAAGATTAAATATTTTGTTTTTCAGTTAAACTCATGGATGGCATTGTGTCTCAGGGCTCTTTTGATCACTGAAAACAATCTCGGACACCTGTGATAATTAGATTGCCAGGTGAGCCCAATTTAAGGAAAACCTACTAAAGGAGGGTGTTCCACATTATTAAGCAGAGCACCATTTTCATGCAATTTGGGAAGAAAAAGGATCTCTCTGCTGCTGAAAAGAGTGAAATAGTTCAATGCCTTGGACGAGGTATGAAAACATTAGATATTTCATGAAAACTTAAGCCTGATCATCGCACTATTAAGAAATTTGTGACTGATTCAGAGCACAGACGGGTTTGTGCAGATAAAGGCACATTGAAGAAGATTTCTGCCAGATCCATGCATTGGATCAAGAAAGCA